CTGGCGGGGCGCTGCCTCAGCCCGGGCCCGGGCCCGCTGCTGCCACACGCACTGGGGCAGCGGGATGCCCTGCCAACCCGCGTCCCGACAGCGCGCCACTTCTTGCGGGCCCCGGGTGGGGGGGGCCGTGTTCGGGCCGGGGAAAAGTTACGCCGCTCCCGGTCCCCGCCGCTGTGTGCGGGCGCCCGGCCGGGCCCGACCGGCGGGAGCAGATGGGAAGCCAGGCCCGCCGCCCAGGAGGCGCTTGTGCCGCCAGTGGTCTAGCCGTGGTCTGGGGCTGGTCGCCTTCGTCTATGCACACCATGGGCTTGCACCACGCAGTATGATAGGCGCGTACAGACGTCGTAGCCATCATATGGGTATGATATGCACATGTACATACATACATACATACATACATAACATAACATAACATATATGTTATATATATATGTGTGTGCATTTATGTATATGTGTATGCATGTATACAGGTGTGTAGGGTGTAGCCGTGTTGGTCTAAGGGCATAAGCAGACACGATTCACCCAAACAACTTTGCCTGTACATATGCATGGCATTACACACACACACACACACACACACACACACACACACACATGTATATATATGTGAGTGTGTGTATAGACAAAGACCAGCTCCTTTAATATACATACATACATATATGAGTGTGTAAAGCCAAGGGAAGCACCATACATACATACATACATATATGAAACTTTACGTACATAGGTACACCATATATATACACGTATTATATACCTCACGTGTATACAATAACATTGATTATTGTTCTGTATCGATTGCTTATTATCTAGTCTCTAATTTATCTGTTTATATGATACCATTTAGCTATTGCCTATTTATTATATAATAGATATATTATGTGTATTATATGATAATTGACAAGCTACTATGATAATTGATAACGCTATTGGTTATTATCTCTTATATGATTCACGTGTTTCTATCTATCTATTCATAGCTTATTATTCTCTGTTTGAGAATGTATCTATTTCTTAGTTTCTTTTGATTGCTTATTATTACCCACTACATCGTTTAATGGTTATTATCTATTCATTGCTTCAGAGCTAGTCTATAATTTATTGCGAATGATCTATTTATTGCTTATTCTTGTCTATTATATCATGTATCTATTTGTGCCTGTCTCTTCATCGCTTATTATGACATGTTATATCATTTTATGTATTTACCATTTCATCATTGCTGATTATCTTTTATATAATTCATTTATTATTAACTCTTGATGGCTTATTATTATCCACTATATAGTTCGTTTATTATTATCCCTTGATTGCTTGTCTTCTATGATATAATGATTTATAATGGTCTATTTATTGCTTATTCATACCTATTATATAATGTACCTTTATTGCGCTCTTCATTACTTATTAGGACCTATTGTATCATTTTACCTTTTCATTATCTCTTTATTGCTTATTGCGATCTATTGTAACAGTCATTTATTATCTCTGGACGGCCATTATGTTTATTAATTTATTATTCACTCTCGATTGCTTATGATCGATTACATAATGTATAATGATCTATTTACTGCTTATTATTAGCCATTATACAATGTATTTATTGCTGTCTATTCATTGCTTATTACGATCGTTTATATTATTTTTATCGATCTACTGTTATCTATTACTTATTATGCGCTATTATACCATGTTTATCTATCTACTATCTATTCGTTGCTTCTTATGATCCGCGATATCATTTTATCTATCTACGGTCTATTCATTGCTTATGATCTATTATATTAATTTATCTATCTACTCTTCTCTGACCTAATCTGATTTATGTTACGTATCTATTTGTTATTATCGATTCATTGCTTATTATGATCTATGATAGCCTGTTATCTATCTATCTATTCATTGCTTATGATCGAATATATTATCTTATCCATCTACTCTTCTCTATGACCTATTCGGACCTCTTATATTAGGCATCTATTTGTTATTATCTCTCCGTTGCTTATTATGATCTATGATGTCATGGTGTCTATCTACCAGTCTCTGTGACTTATTCTGACTGATTACATAACGTATCTCCTTATTATGACCTCTTACTTATTATTCTGCACAGTATAATTTGCTCTGTTTATTACGATCTGTTTCTGGCTCATTACCTACCATCTAATTGATCTATTTATTTAAATCTCTCCCTTCCCCCCCC